TAACGGCAATATTAATAATGATAATAATAATGATAAAAAATAATGATAATAGCATTAATAATAATGATAATAATGATAATAACGATAATAGCAACAACAATTATAGTGATAGTAACAGTAATAATGTTAATGATAACAACGATAATGATAATTATAATAATAATAATAATAATAATAATAATAATAATAATTAGTGATATCATTGCCATTACTCTCTTTATCATTGTCATTGATATTATTATTATTATCATTATTATTATCCTCCTCATCATCATTATTATCATTATCATTATTGTTATATTCGTTATTAAAAACATATATATACTAATAATACCGTAATAATCCAATTATAATGATGATATGAACAATGATAATAATGATAATGATAATTAAAAAGATAATGATATTGAAAATTATAAATGATAGTGGTGATGATGCAACGTCAACAACAAATGTAATAATAATGGAAATGCTGTTGAGGACAATAATGATGCTATCATCATTATTAATGATGAATATAATGAAATATTGTAACAATAACATTCATTATGAACGTCGCTGGCAGCACCACTATCAACATTGCTACTGTAAATAACATTCAACATGTGTTCCTGCGTGAGATTACTGCGAGCCCGGTCGACCCAAGGTCTGTTCCTTCCGGCTGACCTGCATCGATGAATCCGCCTCCCCCAAGAGCCGAACGAAGCGCCCGGCCTCGAAGAGCCGCCCAGAAAAAGGGAGACCATCCTTGACTCCCGAGACAGACAAACTGGGATTAGTTCGTAACCACCATACCCTCGATACCCGGGGGAGGGGCCTCGCAACCACCTCCTTGAGAGGCAGTAAACCCAAAAGCTAAGATCCCTTTACCTGCACCAAGACCATGCCCTGTGTCGTTGATAGCCTTTATCATTATGAAATATCTTTAACAAGTCAAAAATACACAATTACATTATTGAAGCTGATGTGGCGATAATAATAATAATAAAAATGATAATAATAATAATAATAATGATAATAATAATAATAATAATAGTAATAATAATGATAATAATAATAATAATAATAATAATAATAATAATAATAATATTGATAATAAGAAATGGCGATGACAATTTCCTTCGCCTCTTATCCGAAGTGCCGAGCAGTCTGGACACTCGGCAGTGTGATGCGATTGCGATTTGCGAAGTTCTGGCTTCGCCCGGGCCTTCGGCTATGGCCCGGCAGTGTGTTCGGGATTTCAATATGAAGCTGCCAGAGAAGCTGGCCACGACTGGGTTTCGAGGGGGAGGGGCGAGGCCTCAGCAAAGCGCTGAGAGAGAAGCTGCACAGGAGCAAGACAGGAAGAGAATGGATTCGGGTGCGTAAAGACCAATGACCCACTGGCGCTCGGGGAGGGAGGGAAATATATGCCGATGTGATAAGATGAGAGAGACGAGAAGTTTATGTCTAACTGGCTAACATATACACTCTATCGGTCAAACTCTAAGTGTCTATCTATCTAAAGAAGCTGCCTGTGCAACGGAGTTTTCGACACCGTAAATTACCCCCGCTGAGACAGCCGCGCCTGCTTACCGTCGGCTAAAAGATTAATACTGCAGCAACTCCCTAATTGAATACAGCTGAGTATCAAACTTACTTTTCTCTAATATGTACTAGCCTTCTTCTTTTCGTATAGTTGAGGTCAACCAGTTATTAAAGTGTTTTGAGTAGAGTGAGTTTAATTCTCTTGTAAATATACTGTTAACCTGAGCCTTATCGTCCTTGCAAGGATTCTTTAACCTATGTATGAAGACAATACAAAAAAAAAAAAAAACTGACAATAATACATAAATCATATTGATACTTTTCACTACAAACGCTTCGTGCATCAGATATCTTTTATCAAAATCTAATGACAATCCAAAACATACACGTTAAAGTACACTGCTTATGAAGCTTATGAAGCGATTAATGTGTGTGTATGTGTGTGTGTGTGTGTGTGTGTGTGTGTGTGTGAACTCGTATAATCACACACACACACACATGACAGAATCAATAATGCCATATAAATATATATATATATATATATATATATATATATATATATATATATATATATATATATATATATATATATCTGTGTGTGTGTGTGTGTGTGTGTGTGTGTGTGTGTGTGTGTGTGTGTGTGTGTGTGTGTGTGTGTGTGTGTGTGTGTATGTGTGTGTGTGTGTGTGTATACATACATATATATGTATACATATCTACACATATATATGCATATATACATACGCATATGTATATACATGCATATACATACATAGACGCACACACACACACATATATATATTATATATGTATATATAAAATATATATATGTTTACATATACATCAATGCTTGTGTGTGTGTGTGTGTGTATACGTGTGTGCACATGTTGTAGGTGCTCCTAGATAAGCGGGTGTTGGTATCCACAAAAGTATTATTGTAAATTGCATCTTTAAAAGGCAATGAGTTACTTAC